ATTGGCGATAAACAGGCGAATGGGTATGCGGGGACCGTTCTTGCGCAGACGCACAACCATCTTCAGCTCCGCGTGGCTCACCCGCAGCTTGACGAGACGCGTGGCATAGCGCACGACTGTACGACGTACAGTGAGCTGCAGTTGACGCATGTCTTCCAACAGCAGGGTTGGAGCGAAGTTAAAGAAGATGTGGTTGCCCGTTGTGAAACCGGCCTTGGGGTGGGTGAAGGCCACTTCGAGGGCATCCATGGCCTCAAGGAGGGTGCGCTCCGCCTCTGAACGTAGGTACTCGAAGGAGGCAGCCTTCGAGACCAGGTCAGCATGCCGGATCATACTGCGAACGAAGAAGCGGAAATCCACGGCTCCCTGACCTTGAGAAATCTGAAGAGCGAGGACAAAGCAAACAAGAGATGAGGGTTCAGCAGAGGTCGGCGGGTAGGTAGAAGAAAACATTATGGAAAGGCCTGCAGTTACTAGCTCTAGAATAATTTGTGCGGATGGCCTGACTGGTTTACTTTTCTTCCGCCATGACAGACAAGCAAGAGAACACAGGAAAAGCTACTCACTATTTTATAGTAACATATTTTATGTTGGATATATTATGCACACAGGGACCATCTAAATGCTCTCACGGACACTTTGACCATACCCGCAGACAAAATTTGTACATGTATATATTTTACTCACTCTTTTATAGTAACATATTTTATGTTGGATATTTCATGCATATTGTTTTCAATAGGGTCTTCAAAGGCATTGCCTACTACCCTAAATATACTGAACTATACAGAACTAATTCCCCGTGAGTAGTCGAACTTTGGCGGACACAATGACCATAGACGCAATATCACAGGGACGAATGAGAGCTAGTGATATAGTGACAATTGTGTGTTTTTGCTACGAAATAAATCCGATATCTGACTGAATCTCCAGTCAGAAGAATCCTCTTAGTTGACGGCTATCAACAGTGAAGAAGCATTACAACATTTGTTGTTGCGACAATACCTCAAAAAGAACACTGAGGTGGTTCGGGCACGTCCTCCGTCGTCTGTCTTTTCGAACCCTTCCAATATACTCTCCCCTTCTTTTGAGCGACAGCTCTTTTTTCTCCTATAAGGGTAACGAATTAAATTCATTTTAGGCCTTTTTCAGCCAATTTTGGAGGAGGTTCTTTATTCTTTCTTCTCCGAATGCCCATTAAAGACAGAAAATTACCCTCTGTACATGTACTGTACTGCATATTTATGACAATTAACGGCTCTCCTATCAAAGATAATTACCC